TTATAATAATAATAATAATAATGAAAAAAAAAAGTCATCTTCCACTGTCACAGCCCAGACCTGCAACTCAACTTGCTTCTCTCTTAAGGGATGAAAGTGCCCCGGCAGAACAGCCTTTTCATTCAACGTGTCAGACAGAAGAACTGCCCCACACCTAAATCTCAGTGCAATGCAGACAACACTTACAGCAAAGCAGGGGGCTACGGGGGGAGCTGTGCATTGAGAATGGAGAAGGAGCAACCAGAGACTGAGAACACAGATGGGCACTGGCAGCGTTGCCTTCTGTCAGCCTCATGGAACATGGCTACCAGTATCCGCACACCGCAGTGAACTCAACCAAGCTAGTATGTGTGATGATCACAAAGATGAAGGGAAAACACCCTGGAAGAATAGTCAGGATGGCTGGGATAAGAGACCTTTTTTCCCAGGATTTGGCTGGAAGGGGGAATGGCACAGTTCTCTACCTCTTAGGACTGTTTTTTGTTGCTCACCATGCAGCACTGTAAGCCGCAGAACCATGCCCTGCTACAGCTCAGTGAGAAGAGCAGCAGCAAACCCTTCCTCGGCACTTCAGCTTTCCATCTTCTTGATAACTGTACAAATAGAACCTCATTTTTTATTTTGTTTCTAAGCTTTCAAGAGTTCTGCACACCTCAAAAGTGAGAGAAATCATTCTGAACAAGCGATTGTGCTGATAACTCTGAAATGCAAACCAAACCACTGGCGGCTTCTACTCTGTGAAGCAGAGGCAGTGCTGCTGCTCTCAGTAGGCCTCCCAGCCCCCTCTCTATTCTGCAGCTCTGAACCTTCTCCTGACAAATGGTGCTGAAAAGAGACTACTCCCTGCAAGCCACCTGAGACACCTTCCGTTGCATTTCAAACCTTTAAAGAACCCAGAGGCCCATGCTAGAATAATACAAGATTTCTTTTAATCACACATCATCTTCAGCTTAGCCCCCAGTCACCCCTGCACGTACACACTGACCAGCTGCCAGCACAGAATTATCTTGCAACTCTACAGGATACTCCTGGGGTTCAGATACCGATTTCATAGGATAAAACTAATGCTGGGTTCCACCTCAAGCTACAAGAGAGAAAGGACACTGGTGTGACTTCAAACATACACAGAGCTGCAGGATATTGCATGGAGGAGCCGGATGCTTTCTCGGGAATCTTTGTCAGATGCATCACTAAAACGCAAACTGACACTCTCCCAGTTACCCCAGACTCCCTTCCCTCCTTCTCGCAGTGTCTGCAAAGATAGTTTTTTGGAATACAAATAATCAAAGTGCTCACATAAACCACCCACTCCAATTGTGCTTTGATTTTCTTTCCACACACGTGCTGGACAGCATCAAGGCATTCGTTTGCATGCCTTCAACTGGCAGGGTGGTCTGCTCTGAAAGCCAACGCAGTTCAGACAAGCTTTGGGGGTTCAAAATTACTACCGACCACCTGAGGTGTGGGCACCTTTGCTTTGCTTCCGAATTGGAGTTTCTGATATGAGACTGCTGGTCAGGTTTAAGCTTTTGGGGGTCCCACACACACTGTTTCCTTTGCTCAAAGGGGAACTCAAGGGAGAAGAGGCGCTTGAAGGTCCAAAATCTGCAAGTCCAGAAGGCCGAATAATTGCTGTTTGCAGAGGGCTATTTGCAGACATGCCTAGCAATGGAAAAGAGAATCAAATTCCATGTGAGCATATTATTCCACTTACAATTCAACAACAACAAACAATATACTACCTGTCGGCCCTAAGACCACCATCTATACATGATTTATAAGAGTTTAATGAAGAGGGAAGTCCTTAAGATACAAAACATCTTGCAGTTATACTGTGGGCCACCTTCAGCTGGTGTAAAGCTGAAGCTCCATCACCATGAGGCAGTGGAACCTGATGTTGTAACTTCAATGAGACAGCAATGCAGGAAAGTCACAGCCATACCCATGGGATAAACATCACTATCCAATTTGTCTTGAAGAAAAACATTTGGTATGAGATAATTTAAGGGGTAGAAGAAACTTCTGTAGGACTAGCTTCTCAAGGTCATCTGTGGCGAAATTGGCCATCTGCTCACACCATTACCATGTCACATTGTGTACTGCCTGGATCTCAGAATACAACTGACCACCAATAAAACACTTTTTATCTATGTCTTGACAGGCTGTAAACAACAATCACTCAAAGTGATGCTGTTGGTTCTGCTGCCTCCCCTTCCCCACATACCTTTTGAGACACTGTACCCGTACGCTGCGTACGCAGCTGCCGAGGCTGCTGCTGCTCCTGCTTTGGCTCCTGCCATTGCAGCTGCGCTTCCTGCTATTGACTTCCGGCTTCTGCCTTTCCCTGTGCCACCTTTTGAGCCACCACTTGAACCTTTAGGACGACCCCGGCTTCTATTTGACTGGCCTCTCCCAGTGAGAGGAGTATCTTGCATTGAAACACCTTAACAAGAAACGAATGTTAGAACAGTAACTGCTATAGTATTTCAGGTGACTCACAAGCGAATACAGCATCGTCACTACCTACCATTTACATTAATACTGTTCCTATCAACTGGTACTTTTCATTTACATTAACAGGGACACTGTCAGCACGCAGTGATCCCATGAAAAGATATTACATATACAAAACTTCATTCTTCATTAACCACATTCTTATTAATTCCAAGTACTTATCATTATTATGAATCCAGTCCACAAATAGGTGGAGAATTCTGGGTTCTTCTTCAGGATGAAGCATTTTCATACTTAAAGACAGATAGGAAGTTTTTTCCATTTGCTATCTCTAATGAATCTCACCAAGAACTATGGCTCTACTTATTTCAGTTGTAGAAAACTATGGCAGTTAAAAACATCCACTGTTACGTAAAATTACAGCTGCTCCAATCACCCACTGGAAATAGAGACCTAATTATTAGCTCAACAGCAAATTCAAGGAAAAGCTTAAAGATTAATAGTTCTGTGGTTGTCTGTAAGTTGCTAATATGAACATAATGGAAGGAGAGCCCTCTGTAACACAGGAACAAAGGACAACACTTTTAAGAGTAACTAACATAGAAGAGAGGAAGGTGGTAAATGAGACTATAAACACATTTCCTATCAAATCAGAAGTAATTTCTCAATGAAGAGGCAATTTCC